GCTGTCTCACTTTATTTTAAAATAATTTAATTAAAAAGTACCCTCTGAAGTTACACTTTGTGCCAAGTCCCACTCTAAATACTGTCTGGCACATAAGCCCCAGGCCTGAGGAAGCCTACATTCTAGAATGGCGTATAGGAATAAAAGTACCAGGTAGATAATGACAATGAGCTACAAATAAACTGATGCAAAAATCTGGAAAAAGGAGTGATCTCCTTGCAAATCTCTTGGCCCTCTTTTTCCACAAACCATAACCATATTCAAAATTTGACTCTAAATTAAACTCCTCCAGGAGGAAAAGTCCTTTCCAGTCGGACAATGTACTTAAAAGAAGCCCTTATAACTCCTGTTGTTTTTCATTTAGTCCTTATTGGAATGTTCTTTTCCAAGTGTCTCTGGCTATGTCTCTTTGGCTTCCTCAAAGAGAGTGTGGAAAAAAAAAAAAAAAAAGAGTATGAGATCATCACCAAGACAGCCCTCTTGTCTTTTGCTTAAATCTAGCAGCTACAAAGTGTCACAGTGTTACTTCCTTAACTGACTCTCATGATGAACTTGCAACTGGAAGTTTATTTAATCATAATTATCTAAAGGATGGAGGTTATGAAGTGCTTTTTCTCTAAAGATATTATCTTGCTTTCCAAATATCTAGCACTACAAAATACATATATGCAGCAGTAATACATAACACATTCAAACTTGTCCCCCGTTTCCTTTCAAGTCTTAAGACAAATGATGTTCACCAAATGTTAATAATGATTACTTCCAGGTGGTAGAATTTTAGTGTTCTTCTGTTCTTTGAATTTTTCCTGTGTTTAAATATTTACAATAAATACAAATCATTTCTATTAAAACAATGAATACATTATTTAAAAAAAACTACTAAAGCACAAATATTCAGTTTAAAAAACAACCACCACATACCTCTTTTCCCTTTCTGGCTAGCTCATCAACTTTGTCTACAAGTTCTCTTGCTCTGTATATTTTAATATGAGACAAAGAGACTTAAAGCCAATCAATCATTCATTCTGCATTTTCTAATCTCTGTACACTGTAACCTTCATAAAATTTTTTCTAAATCACATATAGTATGTGCCTCAAAAGTCAAACCAAGATAAAAATGTTCTAAGATTGAGTGGATTTAGTATTTCCTTTAATAGCATTTTGCTATAATAATGTAAAAGAAAACAATTCACCTTTTTAACTTTGGTCGCTGTGAAGTTGACTGGGATGCAGGATTTGAAAACCCCGTGCTTTTACTAACTGGAATGGCATTTTTTTTGGTATTAACAACCTGAGTAGAGTGGGCACTAAAAGACTTAGGACTTCTCCTCTTCACTTTGCGCTCCTCCATTGTTTTAAGTTCCTTATTGCACCCAGGACAGCTTCTTATGACCTAAGGAAATATAGCAGATTTATACACATATGCTAGAAGATGCCAAAATGAAAGGGGTTCAAAGACCCACTTGAGGGCTGAAAGATGATCAAGAGTTTCAGAGGTCATTAAAGAAAGTTAGCACAAGGATCCTTGAGCTTAATTTACTAAATACACAGAAGCCCTAACCAAAACTGCCTGTTAGACAAAAAATTCTGTTCATCATTTTACTAATTCATCCTACAAATATTTACTCTCTTCCACATGTCAGACACTATGTTGGGCATTAGTGAGACAGTACTGAGCAACACAAAGTCCTTGCCCTCAAAAAACCTGTATCGTTATAGAAGGGGTATGACACCTAAACACCAAACAAATCATTCAGCCTGCCTCAAGCCTTAGGTGGTCTTTAGGTTTCCCTTCTAAAATGTATTCTTTGAAAAAGGAACTAGATTCAAACAGATGTATAACTGACATAGGTACCTGCATTTTAACTAGCAACCAGAAACCTTATTTCAATTACCACATAGAAATTCAGTTTCTCCCAAGAGATAATACTGATTCTAGTTTCTTGACCAAAAACTGTTCTGTAAAGTTAAATTTGTTCCATTACTATTTTGAATTTACTTTCTCTATCTATTTTCAAGGAAACATGAAATTTTATTATATACATTTAGTTTTGCCAATATAAAAAAAGTTCAGTTGCTCAGTTGTGTCCAACTCTTTGTGACCCCATGGACTGCAGCACGCCAGGCTTCCCTGTCCATCAACAACTCCCAGAGCTTGCTCAAACTCATGTCCATCGAGTCAGTAATGCCATCCAACCATCTCATCCTCTGTCATCCTCTTCTCCTCCTGCCTTCAATTTTCCCCAGCATCAGGGTCTTTTCAAATGAGTCAGTCCTTCGCATCAGGTGGCCAAGATATTGGAGTTCCAGTTTTAGCATCAGTTCTTCCAGTGAATATTCAGAACTGATTTCCTTTAGGATTGACTGGTTTGATCTTCTTGCAGTGCAAGGGACTCTCAAGGGTCTTCTCCAACACCACAGTTCAAAAGCATCAATTCTTTGGCACTCAGCTTTCTTTATAGTCCAACTCTCACATCCATTCATGACTATTGGAAAAACCATAGCTTTGACTAGACAGACCTTTGTTGGCAAAGTAATGTCTGCTTTTTAATATGCTGTCTAGGTTGATTATGGTTTTTCTTCCAAGGAGCAAGCGTCTTTTAATTTCATGGCTGCAGTCTCTCACTGTTTTCATTGTTTCTCCATCTACTTGCCATGAAGTGATGGGACCAGACACCATGATCTTAGTTTTTTGAATGTTGAGTTTTAAGCCAACTTTTGTACTCTCCTGTTTCACTTTCACCAAGAGGCTCTTTAGTTTTTCTTTGCTTTCTGCCATAAGGGTGGTGTCATCTGCATATCTGAGGTTATTGATATTTCTCCTGGCAATCTTGATTCCAACTTGTACTTCATCCAGCCTGGCATTTCACATAATGTACTCTGCATGTAAGTTAAAAAAGCAGGGTGACAATATACAGCCTTGATGTACTCCTTTCCTAATGTGGAACCAGTCTGCTGTTCCACATCCGGTTCTAACTGTTGCTTCTTGACCTGCATACAGATTTCTTAGGAGGAAGGTCAGGTCGTCTGATATTCCCATCTCTTTAAGAATTTCCCACAGTTTGTTGTGATCCACATAGTTAAAGGCTTTGGCATAGTCAGTAAAGCAGAAGTAGATGTTTTTCTGGAACTCTCTTGCTTTTTCAATGATCCAACGAATGCTGGCAATTTGATCTTTGGGTCCTCTGCCTTTTCTAAATCCAGCTTGAACATCTGAAAGTTCATGGTTCACATACTTCCAAGAAAGGCAATGCCAAAGAATGTTCATTTAAAAAGTTACACTATGAAATTACAGTTGGTTTTTCCAGAGAGAATATATATGAAAGTGAAAGTTGCTCAGTCATGTCTGACTCTCTGTGACCCCATGGACCCATGTAATTCTCTAGGCCAGAATAGTGGAGTGGGTAGCCTTTCCCTTTCCTTCTCCAGGGGATCTTCCCAACCCAGGGATTGAACCCAGGTCTCCCGCACTGCAGGCGGATTCTTTACCAGCTGAGCCACAAAGGAATTTACCCAGTACTTTCCCTTAACTTTATGTATTAACCAGCTTTATTTTCCTAATAGCCACCTATCTAAAAACATCCTTCTACATTTCCTTTTTACTTATGCATAAATTCAACTCTTCCTAATTATATTGTTTCATGTATCATAAGATGAGAAATGGTTACTTGTCTCATCGCATGGCAAAAAGCCTTAAGAGCATTAGGTCTTGACTATGCTGTGTTGAATTTAATCATTCTATGACCATTCAGTGGAGAAGGAAATGACAACCCACTCCAGTATTCTTGCTTGGAAAATCTCATGGACAGAGGAGCCTGGTGGGCTATGGTCTATGGGGTCTTAAAGAGTCTTCTGACACAACTTAGCAACTAAACAACAATGACCATTCAAAAAGACTCAAATACATTGATATCACTCCTGAAGTAATTACTTGAGAATTTTAATCAAAACAACTTTTGTGTGTGTGTGCTACTAGCACTGTTATTAAACCAATGAACTCAGTTTATTCCGCTGATTCTAGACAATCATAACTGGAGCTAAACTGCCAAAGAACCAAAGGCTGTAAAGGAAAGGCTGTATTGCCCAGTCTGTAAGCGCAGAGAACAAACTGCTTAAATCTTGGTTAACGGTTCTTCCTTTAAGAAGCATTCTCAGAAACAGAACAGAACTTCTGGGGTTGGTTCGGCATGCAACACAAGTTAAATGTTTAAAAAATAACTGAACACAGAAGATGGGATATCAGTTCTTCAGAGGCAAGGATCTTATACATTTATGCTACATTTAAACACACTGGTTTTTTAAATTTAATGATGCTTATATACAGTTGGTGATACAAGAAAAAAAAAAAGAAAAGAAAACTAGGAAGTAACGCAACGCAAATAAACCAAGAGTGGTCTAAACTAAGATGTTCTGAGGGGGAAGGGCTCGAAAATTACCCGTGTTGGGAAGGTAACATCACTACTACAAGAGCACCGAAATTCCTCCTGTATACCAAGCAGCAAAGACCCTTTCAGAAAAGACCTTCACAGAACACAACTCGTAGTCTTTTAAGAGCTAGGAACTCAAGCCTCTAAGAAAAACCACGAGGAGTCTCTCTAGACTTCACCTCATTTCCCTTCCGCAATCAGCCGTCACGGAGACCCTTCACCGCCCAGAATCCAGTAGTGGCCAGAGACAGTGATGGGAGGGGCCTACAGGGACACTGCGGAGGTGCCTTTGTTTCCACGTCATACCTGAGGAGAAAGGGGATCGCGGTTCTCTTCACCCTGCAAAGACCCCGGGGCCTCTGAAGCCACCGCCGCAGGCGCCGATGCTACCGCTGCAGCTCGAGCCGGGGTCACATCCCGGGCCTCGCGCCTCCACAGTGCTCTTTGTTTACGGAAGTGACTTAGGAGGCAGCGCCTCCGTGCCTAGGCGGGCGCCCCGCCTCTTCCTGAGCCACCTGTGCGCTCCCTTCTACGGCGCTGGCATCACATTGCATCCTTTAGCCTGCCTTCAACTGTAAGTTCGACGAGCACGGAAAGGAAGACACATAGACGGGCTTTTATTTGGGGCTCAATGGCCCAGAAGCGGGCAGGATAAACACGGTAGGTGTGAAGGCAAGAACCGGAAATATACCTTTTCCGGAAGCTGCCCCGCCTCCTCAGTGAGTGTAATCTCCCACGCACTACAATTCCCAGCAAGCTGTTCGAACAAGCTTGGAGGAGGAACCAGAGTGTCGCCATAGCAACTGTTCCGGATTGTTTCTGAAACATCACCAGGATCAGTTCGGATCAGTTCAGTTCAATTCAGTTCAGTCGCTCAGTCGTGTCCGACTTAAAGTAAATCAGTTTTGTTTGGAAGGCAGCGTGAAAAACCGTGATTCTGTTTAGCGACCCTGATGCTGAGCCCTTAAATAGAATTCTATTACTGCTACTATTACTTATTAGTCATTTGACACGTTAACTGTAAACCTCACTAAAGTCTATAAGGTAGGTGTTAGAATCTGCGTTTCGAAATGAAGAATATGACACTGAGAAAGGCTGGTAAATCCACGTCTCTCTTTCGCCAAGGCTGTTCTTCTCTACACATACTGCCTCTGGAAAAGGAATTGAGAGCTGAGAGAGATTGAACTCTCCTAAGTGAGGGGCGAATCCGTGTTTCATTCCCTAGTCTGGATAGCCTTCTCCGTGTGGGGGATGGGGATGGGGAGGTTTTAAATTCATGAACTGTTAGACTGAAGAGACGAGAGAGCAGCTTACTTCTCTCTCATTGCTAGTGAGGAAACTGCATCTGGCATCATATCCATGCCAGATACGCAAAGCAAAGATGAACGCAGTTATCCTGGTTTCTAGTTTTACATGAACACTATTATATTTTGTATATTGATCTACAACTTGACTGGCCACCTAACTGTATGTTTTTTGAGAAGTTTTTACATGAATACAGAAGGCTAGACTTCATTTGTCTTAATTATACCGTATTCTATCAAATAGGCTTACTCCAAATTCTTTGAGAATTCCCATAATGGTGGGTGTTTTTGTTGTTTCCCATTTTTTGCTGTTACAAGCAATGCTGTAGAGTGTGATCTTCTCAATGTCTGTTCTCAGTATCTCAACTCATCTCTGAATTGTCTTATCTGTATGAGCAGAGCTTATAAACAGGTTTAATTTTGAGCTATTTCAACCCATTTATTTATCATCCCAATAATAAATGGGAAGATCTGACCACACTAGATCTGCACTGTAGGCTGGCAACAGTAGTTCAAGCTCAAGAGCAGCTGACTCTTAGATAAGTTCAGGTGATCTCTGTTTTTCTCTAAGACCCATGCATTTAGTACCCATCTAAGCCCTGTGGCATTTGCATTTGCAACCCCAGATATAACATAAGGGCACAAGAAGGTATTCTTTCAAATTACATAGTTCCATGTTCAAAGTTCTGTATTTAATATCTATTTTGGCCAGACACTTGTAAGAAATCAGGGGACATCCATGAACAAGATGGACAAGAGCCCTACAGTCAGAAATTTTATATCCTTGATAAAGGAGACAGACAAAAAATTAGGCAAATAAAATAGTTTCATTTAGTGATAAGTGCTCTGAAATAACAGCTTAAGGTCATAGTTTTTATAAGGGTTGGGGTACTGAAGGTGGAGTACTGGGGAAGCCCTCCTGAAAAGGCAACTTTGGTGGGGGAGATTGAGATATGAATGGACAGGAGCCAGCCAGTGGGATGAGCATTCTTTGACAAAGCATACACTAAAACCACAGGTCTTTAGGTACAAATGAGCTTGGCGTGTTTGAGGAGGCCAGTGGTCAGGGTGCCTGGATTGTGCTGACTTAGGGACAGAGTGACATGAGACAGTCATAGAAGTACAATGTTGAGTGTCGTTTCTTTTATTTGAAACATAGAGGCTTAAAAGAAATCTTGTTCTTTGAGACGTACTAGATTTTCCTTTATACTTCAGAAATCCCTGCTTTGGGTTGTTAAATGCACACCTTGTATAAATTACTCTAATCAGATACTTTCTTCCTAAAGAGAGTAGATATTTCCAGAATAGGAGCTGTGATCAACAAGACCAATCCCCTCACCCCCCACTAATGTACTCTATAGCATATTTTCAAAATTACTTTTTCTTATGAAAATTTTGAACATGTACTAAAGAAGACAGAATAGTATAATGAATCCCCATGCACCCAACATCTAGCTGTTGATTCATGGCCAATCTTGTTTTATTTATATTCCTCCCATGACATTTTCTTCTCCCCAGTAATACACTGAAGCAAATCCCAGACATGACTGAATCTCTAATATTTCAGTATGGATCTTTCAAAAACTTTATCACAATATCACCATTATTCCTAAAACAGCAATAATTACTTAATATTATCAAATATGCAGTCATTGTTTAAATTTCCAATAGCATCATGTGTCATAATTTTTCCCACATTTTATTGGCTCAGGAATATTTTTCTATAAGGTCCTGGGCAATGAGTGGGTTTGGAAGCCACTATTGTACATCTTTGTTCGTTGAGCTGCACTGCAGGCAGGCATTGTTTTTCCCCTTGAGATTACATTCCAAAGGAAAAGGTATCTCAACCCAAATCAAATGGCTGCTCTGCCTAGAAAATAGTCACCGCTTTATTGTCCCTTGTGGTTCTTTTAGGAAAGAGATTTTTAAACTTAGAAACCTATCTGTGATTTTTCTAAGGGTTCCTCCGTCTCCTTTTCCTCCCATGCCAGAATGTCCAGGCCAAGACAGATCAGTCTTAATGCTTCTTTGCATGCCTGGCTCAGGAAACAGCTAGTAAAAAAGGCTTAAAGCAGAAATGAGCTTGCCATATTCATGGAACTGAAAGAATGCCAGTCAAGGAGAGTGTTCTGGACTTCAGTCTACTCTAAGATGTACATCTTAAGCATTAGTGCAGGTTCCCAAAGTAAACAGAGAGATCCTTTAAATTGTAAGTATTTTACTGCTAGCTACTTTTGTAAAACAAACAACAGGGTAAACAACAGACATGAAAAGTTACAGACTTAGGCATTTACAAAGTCCTCACATATATGGCCTTTGCTTAATCTGTCTCCCTTAGTAGGCTTTAAGTTCCTTGAGGACAGATACTATTTTTTAGTTTAGTTTTGTATCAGAAACACCTTGCCTTGTGCATTACATAGACCATGACATAAGGCAGGTACTCAAATGTATGTGTTACAAACAAATGAAGCTCACTGATTTTATTTCTGAAAGTAAAGTCATTCAAATAATCCTTTAAACCCCAAAGTCCATAGATCTAGGCCCAGTCATAATACCAGTCAGATGGCATCACTAATGCCCAGGCAATTTCTCATTTTCCAACTGGGCAGTTTGTATTTGGGTACTGAAGTCTTCATACCAAGGAATCTAATGAAGGAACTAATTCTGACACTTTGGGAAGTTGTTGCCTGCCTGAGTGATTATTTTAAAAACCTAATATTTGGGATAGTTTCTTCCTGTGATTCTACAAAACTAAGGTTTTAATCCAGTTGCATATTCACATGTCCTTTTTAAGGGCAGGAGCAGTTAACAGGATTTGTGAGTGGTCATTTGCAAGATATGAGAACAATGCATCCTTCTAGTATCCTTTCTCCAAGTTTTGTCATAGGAGCACTCGGGCTTTAGAAGAAGCTCTGTATTATAGACTCAACCAGAAAGCAAAGGATACAATGTACCAGCTAATTAGCTATCTGTATTACAATCATTCCATCAGTTTTCTCTCTTGTTGCTGAATTTTAGTTGAGGCTCAGTAGTATTATCATGAAGCAAGATTAGGGTTAGGGTTAGAGAAAGTGGAAGCAGTGACAGATTTTATTTTCTTAGGCTCCAAAATCACAGGGTATTAAAAAGCAGAGACATCACTTTGCCGACAAAGGTTTGTGTAGTCAAAACTATGGCTTTTCCAGTAGTCATGTACAGATGTGAGTTGGATCATAAAGAAAGCTGAGCCGAAGAATAGATGCTTTTGAATTGTGGTGCTGGAGAAAAGAAACACCTGCAGGGTGGCCAGAGGGATGTTAAGGTCACCAAGAATAATTTGGAGGTGGCCAAGGACTTGTTTTTAAAGTGTTTTCAAGTCTACCAATAACTCGACATTTAGAAATGAGTAAGATATGAATGTTTAAAATCATGTTTTCAGAAGAAAAAAAAATACCTGCAGGGGTGGATGAAGGAAAAGGAGGAAGTGGGGGGGGGGTAAGTAAAGCAACAAGGAAATTTTAAAATGTTACATAAAGCCTAAACTGTTATCATTCTTTTAAGGAGTTGCTGTAATTCCTGTTAATGGGGGAAATAAACACTTATATAGGGGCAAAAAATAAAGGGTGAGACTAGGTAGATGGCCCATATGTGTCATAATACAATAATGAGTGTTGTATATGCACAGGTGGACGTGACACTGAGTTTGGGAATATGAAGTTGAGAACGTTGAATCATTCTGTATAATAAACTGGAGAAAGTTTTTCACTGTGGTAGAGGATCGAGGTGGAGAAGTGTTGCAAATGGACAGCAAAAAAAAAAAAGATGGGAAGAAGAGTCAAAATGATGGGAAGAAGGACCTTAAAAAGAGCAAGGAAGTTATTCAGTTTATCATTGCTGGTGTGGCTCTAGTTACACACACACACACACACACACACCCCTCCCCATGCTTCTAGATGTCAAAATAGGGCTTCCCTGTGGTCTAGTGGTTAAGAGTCTGCCCTGAAATGCAGTGAGAAGCTTGTGCACCACAACAAAGAATAGCCCCTGCTCACCGCGACTAGATAAAGCCCACATGCAGTAATGAAGACCCAGCATAGCCAAAAATAAATCAATCTTTTTAAAAAAACATCAAAATGAATCCCCAACAAGCTCAGAGCTTTGGGTAAATTAATCACTATGAAAACCAAGGGAAAAGCATTGCATTCTACATCTTCAGGAGGCTTGATGGAGAACAGGGGCAGCATGTATAGAACACATGTATAAAGCAGTCCATAAACCAAACTATGTCAGATGAAGCAGGAGCCATGAGTCCAAGATGAACAAGAAAACTGCAAGCCACAGTTTCCCCTGCAATCTTAGAAAGACACGAATTTTCCACCATCTGAATATTGGAGGTTTATATTAATTTCATTTTAACCTTAAAGGGCAAGAATACCTGGGATGACATCTGGTAATCCCCTGCTCTCTCCCACTCGGTTTGTTAGCTGCCTGAAGGAAGAAGCTAGGTCTTATACAACTTTGTATTCCCAAAGTCTAGCATAGTATCTGTCATACAGTAGAAAGCTAGAAAGTGTTCAATAAAGAATGAATAAATGAGAAGAAAACTAGACATATAATGGCAAGTAGCAGAATGGTATTACTAATCAAGTGTCACCATAACTTCAATGACTAAAGAATTAGAAATGACACTGATTCTTAGACATACCTATCTCTGTCCTCCAGGTGGCGGTATTATCTCATGTTAAGTTGAGAATTGCATTTAACTTTTGAGGGGAAAAAAACGAATTAAACAGTTCTGAAACTTATTTCTGTAATTGTACTGAGCCAAAATTAGAATTAAAATATACTTATATGAGATTATAGATTTCTTCTCCAGTTTCAGCACAAAGGAGGATTACTGGTAGTTCTCTAATTCATGCAGATTCCAAAACCTTGAAGACATATTCAAATTGGTATACTTTGCATACAAAACATATGTATTTCTTTAAAGTATGGAAATGTGTTGGAGGGGGCAGTTATATGTCTGGAAATAATTCATCATCCAGCAAATAAGGTGACCAGATTAAATACAGGATGGTCAGTTAAACTTGAATTTTAGATAAAGAATACTTTATTCATATGAGTATATCCCATGCAATATTGGGGACTGAAAGGGTATTTCTTTATCTGAAAATCATATGTAACTGGTCATCCTATATTTTGCTTTACTAAATCTGACAGTCTTACCAACAGATATTTTGTAGTTGTCGTTCTTTCCAAAATAAACAGAACTCCCCCGTCTGCAGGGTGCTGCCTTGTTTCCTTATTTGGAGGGATAAAAAGGAAGTAGCTCGGTAGGGCGGGCTTCCTCACTTTGAGTCTAACTTCACCACTCTTTGTCCTCTACCCATGCAGACCTGAGTTCCTCAGCTGGGTGACTTATCTGCAGGAAATTGACCCCTCAAGCAAGTACAGATGGTAGAAACTGAAGTGGTGATTTTATACAAACACTGTTGTTTTTTAATAGCACATGTGATTCTGTTTGCAAAAGCTAAACCGTGAATAAGTGAGATTCTAGATCCTGTCACCTCTAATACTTTTCAGAGGTACCAGATTTACAGCAGCTCTGGCAACAGAAATAGGTAAATTGCTTTTGAAATAAATCCTGTTTGAAAAAAGTAAAGACTTTTCTGGTAAATTCAATCATATGTTATAGTTTTATGTATATTTGCATTTTCAATATGAGCATTCTCTATCTTCTAGATAAAATGTGCTTTAAAATGTCATTTATAAAAATTTCTGAATTTAAGCTTTCCATAGAAACAATACTATGAGTGGTAGATCTTCAGTTTACCTAGTAAAAGTGTATTTAATTATGTGACTGAAAAAAAAATTATGTGACTTAACCACTATATTTGTAGTTTAAAAGCTTTTTTTTTTTAAAGAGTGGTTATGATAATAGTTGGGGCTTCCCTGGTGATTCAGATGATGAAGAATCTGCCTGTAGTGCGGGAGACCTGGGTTCGATCCCTGGGTTGGGAAAATCCCTTGGAGAAGGGAATGGCCACCCACTTTAGTATTCTTGCCTGGAGAATTCCCTGGACAGAGTAGCCTGGTGGGCTACAGTTCATGGGGTTGCAAACACTAGGACACAGCTGAGCAACTAACACTTTCACACTTTCATTTCCATAATAATAGTATTTTAAAGAGTAAGAAAGATAGAAAAAAATTTTATATTGAATATTCATATTTGAGGAAATTCCATTAACGTGTTTGTTTTGGCCTTGCTCTGTCCCTGAAGCCATTCCTAGTGATTTAAATGAATTAACCCATTTAATCCTCATCGTAATCCTAGGAGGTAGATTTTGTTATGATCCCACATTACAGATCCTGGAGAAGGAAATGGCAACCCACTCCAGTACTCTTGCCTTGAGAATTCCTTGGACAGAGGAGCCTGGTGGGCCACAGTCCATGGGGTCGCAAAGAGTCGAACACAAGTGAAGTGACTTAGCGCACACATTACAGATGAGGAAAGTGGGGTGAGAGTTAAGAAACTGCCCGAAGTCTCACAGCTGCCGGCTAGAACTGGGACTTGGGCCCACCCACAGCTGCATTAAGCCCTGTTCACCACAGCCACACTGATGTGAATGCAGAGGTCAGTGGACCGTAAGAGAAGGTGCTGGAGAGGGTATCTGATCTCCATCTGAGGTAGTACGCCATATTGTTCACTGAGCCTGGAACAGTTCAAAGTGAAGGGCTGGTCTTCTCCTTAACTTAGCTGTATTTTGAATACTCTCTTTATGCTTACCAACCTGAACATAGCTGTTTTGGGGTTTATAGGTGCAATAAAGAATGTCAGTAAGGAGAAGAAAGATTTACCTGAGGTAATTGGATAAGAGTTAATAAAAGGTGAAAGAAGATTAAGGAGCACGTGTGTGAGGAAGAAATTTCTGGAATGGAAATAACTGAGCTGAGACCCGAAAAGAAAAATCAAAAGTAGAAGAATTTGACTTTGTATAATTATATACCTGAAGAAAAAAAAAGATGTGGGAGAGATGTTGCCCTGGATTATTGCTAATTCTATGTAACTCGTCCAGATTTCTGATAGCCTGAGGTGGTTCATGCATGACCCAGTCGTGTCCATGGTGCACTTCCCAAGGGACATTGATCAAAGCAACAGTCTCTCGGGTGCTAAGGGGAGAGTCAAACTCCAGTCCCCACTTAGTCATCTTTAGATGCTCTTTCCACCATTTATCCTCTCCGAAAGAGATAAGACATAGGAGAGTGGAGGGCAAAGAATCCCAGACCTACCATTCAGGGCCTCTGCCCTCGCTACCTGACTAGTTGGATAACCTTTGGCCCCTGTTTTCTAAGCTGGGAAAACAGGCATGCTATTACCCACTCTGTGATGTAAGCACCCAGCAAATATTAGCTATGACCCCATTTAATCTTCACAACTCTGTGACGTAAGTATCATTCCCACTTTACAGATGTGGAAAAGGAGGTTCAGGAGAGGTTAAGGTCCTTGTTTGAAAGCAAGTGAGTGCGTGGTGGAGGCAGGGTAAAACCCTGTTCCTTAGCCCCATTGCTGTTTCTCTTTCCTCCGCAGTGCTGCCTGCAGTAGAAAATGCAAGCACTGAAACAAAACGGATTACCTTCCCCCCCACCCCGTGGTGAAAATAAAACAAAACCTTTTTCTACTTTAGCCCTGAGAAATAAGAAAAAAAAAATACTTTAAAGCATTTCTTTAAAAATAAAATATTTTTTCCTAAGACAACAAGAATGGAAAGATCTTTTCAAAACAAAATACAATGCTTGTAACACCCCCCGAAACTTTCAAATTATAAGTAGACAGTTGTAGTCTTCATTCATTATAGTAACTTTTACTTTTAAATCATTTCTTATTATGCAACTAATACAAGCTTGTGCATTCAACTTGTATTTACTGAGCATCTACTATATGTCAAATATTTTTCTAGGCTCAGTGAACAATACAGACAAAAGTCCCCATTCTCATGGAGCTTGTACTCAAATGTAGACATGACAGATTGTAAAAATAACCCTAATAACCAAATCACTTCTATAGAATAGAAAGGATGAGTGTTATGGGGGAAAATAGCCTGGGGAAAGGCGCATAGGGTCATGGATGGGCAGTTGCAATTTTGGATAGGGAGGTGCTGAAGGGAAGGCCTAATTGAGTGAGTTTTGAGCAAAGACTTGAAGAAAGGGAAAGGGTGAGTCATGAGAACACCTGGGATAAGAGCAGAGGAAGGAACAGCGCCGTGGCAGAAGGTAGGACAGGCTAGGTGTGTAAAAGAAGATGGGTCAGGGGGTTGAGCTGGTTTGAGAGGGGTGAGCACAGGCAAGGGCAAGTGGTGACATGAGAGAGAGAAGGCTTTGTGGATGGGAGCGTCAGAAGGAGTGACGGGTCACGTGGGACCCAGTGACCTGTTCCTATGGTTTGGACTTCTTCCCTTTGAGAGATGGAAGCATCTGGGGAGCTTTGAGCAGAGGAGTGACATGATCTGGCCTTCATGTGGATAGATCACCACCTGGGGGCAGATTGTGGGAGTGGCGGGGAGGAGCGGGGAGACCAGTCTGGAGACCATCCAGGTGATCCACATGAGAGGAGACGGGGCCTGGGCCAGGCGGGCAGCTGGAAGGAGGTGAGAAGTGGTCAAAACCTAGATCCATTCTGGAGGTGAAAGTAACAAGGTTTACTGAGAGATTGGATATGGGATGTGGGAAGATGAGTCTAGTTTTTGGCCTGAGCAACTGCAAGGAAGGATTTGACATAGACTAAGATGGCACGATGTGTGTGTTGGAGGCCAGGGAGGGCAGGAAGTTCATTTGGAGATATGTTACACTTGAGTTGATGTTTTAGGCATTCAGGTGGCAGTGTTGAGGAAACAGTTGTATATTTAAGTCTGGAGCTCTGATCTAGCCTGGATGTATATATTTGTTCATTACATACACGGTACCTCCAGCCATGAAACCTGATATGATCACCAAGAGAATCCAGAGAGGGAACACTTGTAAGGAGTGAGCCTTGGGGAAAAAGGAACTGGCAAAACTAGGAGACTGAGACAGAAAAGACTAGAGAAGGAGAAAATTAAAAATTAGCACAGACAATGGGTATGCCATTAACGTTTTAGTATATCCTATTCCAGACGTTTTTTTCCTTGCTGCATATGGTTTCCTTTTTTAAACATTCACTTAGAAATATAATCCAAAATTTCACTTTGTAGATCCCTCTAAAATAAATTTTGAATAGATTAATGCATGTATGTGATATTAAAATAAAAGGTAATAAAAGTTTATGATGAAAAGGAGCTCTCTCTTCTACACAGCCTTGTTATTGGTCTCATCACACATGTGAGCAGTATATGAATGTATATATATTTGTGTGTACACACATGTATTCATACACACACTTAGGATATGCACACTGTTCTGTCACTTTCTCTTTTTACTTCACAGTGTATCTTAGATTCTGTTCCATATTGACATGTGTAGAACTTGTATGTTGTAGATACAGTCATATATTAAGATTGATGTGATAGCTCCCCAGGTTATTCCAGTCAGAACTGTCACGTGATTTTTCCTGGCGAGGCCCCTACAACTGCATCTGCCTGAGCTTTAGGTCTGTCTTTCCTTTCATCCTGCTAATCATTCAGTTCTTAGCTTCTTCTTTTTCTTTTTATAGAAACACATCCGCCATGGATTGCTGCCTCTCGCNGATACAGTCATATATTAAGATTGATGTGATAGCTCCCCAGGTTATTCCAGTCAGAACTGTCACGTGATTTTTCCTGGCGAGGCCCCTACAACTGCATCTGCCTGAGCTTTAGGTCTGTCTTTCCTTTCATCCTACTAATCATTCAGTTCTTAGCTTCTTCTTTTTCTTTTTATAGAAACACATCCGCCATGGATTGCTGCCTCTCGCGATTTCTTCCTTCTTTGTCATGTGGAAATACAGTTGTTCACTCACTAAATATTTATTAAGGCTTTTCTACCTCTCTGGAATACAGTGTAGAGTAGGGGACAGAATCTACAGGAACTCCTGTCAAACTGGAGATTGCAGGATTGTAAGCAAGTGGTTACAATGCTACACTATAAATAAAATGAAGTAAGAGAGATAGGAATGGAATGCTTTGGGAGCCTGGGGTAGGCATGGGGGGAAAAGAAGCAGCTAACAGGGCATGAAAGATGAGCTACTATAAGAAAGACAATTTATATATATATAACATATATATGTGTGTGCATATGTAAAATACACAGGTTTCCCAGGGGGCGTTAGTGGTAAAAACCTGCCTGACAAAACAGGAGACCAAGAGATGAAGATTTGATCCCTGGGTCGGGAAGATGCCCTGGAGGAGGGCGTGGCGACCCACTCCAGTATTCTTGCCTGGAGAATCCCGTGGACGGAAGAGTTTGGTGGGCTTCAGTCCATGGGGCTGCAGAGAGTCAGACACGACTGAGTGACTAACACACTACTTATGGATCTCTTGGTTTTGACGGTTTCTTGGACTTCCCTTGTTTTGATGACCTTGACAGCTGTGAAGTAGGTCAGTGTATTGCAGGATGACTCACTATTGGAATTTATCTGATGTTTTTCTCATGATTAGATGGGGGTTATAGGTTTTGGAGAGGAAGAAGTTATATGCCATCTTCATCATATCTATTATGCTTTATAACCTACTTTTCACTCAAAAATAAATCAAATGCATATTTTCTACTCTCTCTCTCTCTCTATATATATATATATATAAATATAAGTATATATATATAAATCTGTAGCATTCTTAATGGTGATAATAATATTCTGTTGTATGGATGTAGCAAAATTCGTTTAATCACTACCTCTTACTGGAAACTGTAGCATTTTCACTATTACAACAAATGCTGCTCTCTCAGGATATTTGTACAAACATCCTTGCAAATTTGTCTGAGGATTTCCTTAGGTTAAGTCCTGAGCTATGGAGCTGCTAAGGTAAATGGTATTCACTTTTTCTTAGTTTTTTTAAAATGCTTTTGATACATAATACTAAAATGCCATCCAGAATACTTATTAATTTGAACTTCTAGCAATCATGTTTCAGTGCTGTTTCCCCACATTCTAGGTAATGCTGATTATTATTCTTTTCAATCTTTATTATTTATTATATTTGACTCTTTATTTTTCTTTTCCACCTCTGTCAACTATAGTAGAAGATGTATCATGTTGCATTATATTTGTGTATTATTTTCTGCTAGACATTGAGCTCCTAAAGAAAAAAGACTATATCTTCTTCATTTGCCAATACCTAGAGTCTAAGTTACTGCCTGAAAGAAGTAGGGGATGTGATCTGACAAGAGAATTCATGCTAAGGAGGGAAAGGGTTTTCACCATCCCTGGGTGCAATTGCATCCTCTGGGCCAGTGACCTGTGTGCATTATGTAAACAAAAGGTGTGACTCTAATAGTGTGCGCGTCAGACCAGGAAGGAGAGAAATCTACACTAGACCAAAAGAAGGTATCAGGATCTTGCCCTTTTCCTCAAATAACAAGCACAATGGCTGGGGATTTATTTTACCAACTCTAAAAAGGGAAGATCACCTGATAGTTCCTTTAAGCTATAATGCTGTTAAAGCATTACATAGCACAGCTTTTTAAAACACTTAGATAATAGTTGTGATTTCCAGATCAAAAAGAAAAACTTTAGTCACAGTATCTTGAATTTGTGACCTTACTTATCAGTGAGAGCTACCAAAAATTTTGTTCTCCTTTTATTCTGCATACTTCTCCAATGTTTTATTTATTTATTCATTTATGTTATTGTTGTTCACTCTCTAAGTCATGTCCGACTCTTCACGATCCCATCACTGCAGCAAGCCAGGCTCCCCTGTTCTCCCTTATCTCCCAGATTCATACAGTTTCTTATCAAACCTTGACTCTCCCCTTTCCCATACTTTGCTCTTCTAAATTTTAATGTCACTTATAAATGTATTGTGTAGCCTTAATGATATTAATAAATGTCATTGTTTCTATTTG